TATGGGCATTTATGGATATGCAAAAAAAGTTTAGACACAGTCAAATAAACCATCTATTGCCTTTTTTTCACATAGTATTATATTTTTGCAGATGTCATTTAAATAAGGCTTGAAATAGTGGCTTTAATATCATGATATTTTTCTCTGTCTCCACTAGCTGAGTGAATGTAAAGTGAGAACAGGTCTGGAGAAGGGAAAGGCTGTTTCAGTGCTTGAACTACTTTGTGCTACACCAAAGGAAATAAGTATGTAAGGTCAGAAGAGGCCCAAGTTTCTATGGTTGATATTCTGTAGAGTTACTTCTAGTAATGCAACCCAAGTGCCGATTTTTCATAGAACAACGCTGGTTTAGCCCTCAGCACTCTAAACATAATTTTTACTTGATTTGAAAATTTACAAAATGTAGACATGACAAGCTGGACAATTCCTTTACAAAATAAAACCATGAATTTGTGGGTTAACAGTGTTTTAAATAAATATCCTTCACATGGCTGTATATCCTGATGCTTCTATATTGTAGAAAAAAATTTTCCTTCTTGAAATTTATGTCTAATGTAGCCTTCATAATATACTTTTCCAGTGAAACTAGAACTGTTTCAACTGAACAATATTTTCTTCATTCAAAATTATTTTTTTTCTAGTGTATAGAGCTTGCTGCACTCAAGGTTGTCAGTCATATTATACGTCTAGCTTTTCTTTATGATATATATGCTTAAAACTTTTCTTACCTGAGGTCCCTTTTTCATGCAATATCTATCCTGAAGAGGATATGAAAATGTGGTGATTGTCTGGATTAATACTCTCTCACAAGTGCTTGTATATAGTATTTATGTTTATGAATATGCATAAAAATACATAATTGCACAGTCTTTTTATTAAAAAATAAGAAAATCTTTTACTTTTTATATGTGTCTTAAACTTTGCCTGTAAGTGTTTGAATCTCCCATATCTTACATGAGAGACCATTTTGGTCAAAACCCTCAACAAAATAATTCTGAAAATATTTCACTTTACATATAAATTGACTGCTTGAAAAATGTACGTGACTCTGGTTTGACTATTGACTGAATATTAACACAAACATCTGTCATGTAAAACTTCTTACCTGGACATTTTTCATTACCAGGATTGTTCATATCCTTCCCCCCTCAGTAAAGCATTCATTTCCATTTTTCTTATTTATAGAAAACGTTAGGCCTTCTAACTTTAGAAAAAGTTACAAACAGAGAGTGAGTTGAGGCTGTTCAATATGAAGCAGTGAAGGCCTACAATAGAGCTGAAGATGTTTTTTTTATAAGGACGTACACATCCACAGGACAAGGGGGAATGGCTTTAAGCTGAAGGAGGATAGGTTTAGATTGGATATTAGAAAGAAAGTTCTTTACTGTGAGTGTGGTGAGGTACTTGAACAGGTTTACCAGAGAAGCTGTGGATGCTCCGTTGCTGGAAGTGTTTAAGGCCAGGCTGGATAAGTCTTTCAGCAAACTGTTTTAGTGGAAGGTGTCCCTGCTCATGGCAGGAAGGGTTGTTGCAATGAGATGGTCTTTAAGGTCCCTTAAAACCCAAACCATTATATGATTCTCTGCTTCTAATTTTCTATTTGTATTTGTAACTTAAACTGAAATAAAAACCACAACATGAGTAGTCTTGAGCAGAAGTGCCAAGGTGGATGCCTAAATTATTTTTAGGTTTTCAGGAGTTTTTTACATAATCTCTGATTTGGTGTTACACAGTTCTGTAACCTACTGTTTATGTTCCATCAGGTCACATAGTCAAAAATACATTCAGGATTGTCAGAGATATATTTGGAGAGAGGATGTGCACCAGTGCTCTTTCTCCTCCAAAAAATAAACAGTAAAAAGAAACAAACTTATTGTCTTTATCTATAAATTTAAAGCAAACAACCTAACCAACCTAAAAGCCTAAAGTAGTCTTAAAAAAATTTTTAAGCCTCTCCTTGCATTATACACTAGATTGGTGGTTATGTCAGATATTTTATAAATATCTGACATAAATATAAAATAAATTTATATTATTTTTATAAATTTATATTATTTTATAATATAAATATAAAATAAATATAAAATAAATTTATATTATTTTTAAAAGATACTTTTATGGTCTTTATAGTTGCATAATTAATGACATGAAAGTGATAGTGATGATTTATTCTACTACAAATAGAATTTAACTCAGTTTGGTCTCTGAGCATTTTTATTTTCTTGATCTAACTTTTCAGTTTTATTTTTTGATCGATTCTGAAATGAATTGAAGGACAGGCCACAAAGGAAGCTTAAGTGCACAATTAGTCAAAGTTATGCAATATTATTCCCTAAAGTATTGGAGAACCTTATCCCTATCTTCCTATTATATTAATATACCTCCACAGGAGTATCCTACTTTGTTGGTGTAATCTATTTTCTTGGCTCTCGACTGTTCAGAAGTATGAGAACATCCTAATCTGACCATATTTAGCTATTTGTAGTATTATTACATCTCAAGTATTTATTTTGAGAGAAATGGGTATATAAACTCATCTTATGCAAAAGTAGGTTTCTTAAGGCCAGATTACTTGAATTCTTAAAGTGTCTACTTCTCTTTGTGGACTACCTTAGAATGAACAACTACTCTGTTTTCTGTCATGAGTCCCTCCTCTGAGGCTTCTGAAAAGTGAAATCCACATTTAGTACTTACTGCCATGTGTATGATGTAGGAAATAATGCTTATTTTGCCAAGTATAAAATATTTATTGGATAATGGATTTTTTATTTGTAATGGTGGGGTTGGTTTTATGTCTGCACATCCATATGCAGCCCAACACCGAGTTTAGTGATGGCATGTTTGAACCAAATAAATTTCTACAACTACACCTTCAGTGTATTCAGAAACTACTGTTCAACAAATCCACATACAAACTCCAGTTAAAACTAAAATTCTTCTCTTGTAGTGTACAGATGTTTCAGAGAGCAGGAATTGCTTGCTTTCCTAGTTGTATTCAATAGCCTTGGCAAAGTGATGCAAATTATTATTAAAATCTCTGATTTGTTTAAATGTCTTCACCAAGACACTCCTGTAACTATTTTGAGTTCCACCTTATATCATATGAATTCTTCTTGTGTACATAAACTGTGGATATGCCATTCGGGTGTTTGAGTAGAAACAACAAAGAAATACAAGGTAGTCTTCCTTTTTCTTTGTGTTCTTACGATGATTTCTGAAAATAAAGGAGAGAGTATTTAAACCCGTCCCAGCCCTGAGATTGTACATTCAAGCCCACTCCCATTTTACTTGGGTACTGGAAGAATAACTAAGCCTATCTTCTAATTAATGAGGAGTTATTTTATATTGACCCTCAAAAAAGCCAAAAGAAGGTTACAGCTATACTCCAACATTCATATTTACATAGAAATAGCATTTTAGAAAGCTTAGACAATGGTTAGACAGCAGTGCTGTAATTCCAGTATGGCTCTGCTGTGGGAAGGTACAGTTCTAGGGCCCATGACTTCCTCTGGACTTCGAGGGGGAGGAGGGCTTCTGCTGCTAAAGATTACAAAGAATCTAGTATTTTGTGCAACAAATAACTTCTGCTTCTGCAAATAATGTATTTCCCAGAACGATTATTAATGTTTATAAGTTACACCATAATAATACACAAGGAAATTTACATTTTGCCTCTTGAGATAGTAGCATGTCTGTATTTATAAGAAAATTCTCTTCCATCAGAAGTGTAAAAATATTTATCAGCACATCCTGTATCTATCCTATAAGTTGTCTTTCTTAGTAATATGCTGTTTCTCCTGAATCCTGTTTTGCTCTTGAGTATGGTAATGATTAATTTATTTATAAAAAGACACCAATAATATTTTTTCTACTTTGGTATTTATGCCTCACGTCAGGGTTATTTGAATATCCATCAATTTTCAGTAAGAAGTTTATGGGTATAAAAACCTCTTTGATGATGTACAGTCTATCTTCTCATGTTAACTTCTGATAGACATAGTTCCTTTAATCTATGCTGTCTTCATTGGCAGTATTTAGTTGTAGTCAATAGAAAAAATCTTCTTCCATATAGTTTTTAAATATATATATATTCTATAAAGCCAGTTGAGCACACCATACCTAAATTAACCTATACTTATAAATTTAAAATATTTTAGGAGGTCCATTTTAATGTAAGGTTCATTGGTCACAGGCCAAGTTATTAGAGATAGGAGGCCCTTAGTTTAATGACTGAGAAGGAAAGTTTCTTGTGGTGCTTTTGCCTTATTCTTGCTTACATGGCTGATATATATTAAGTTTTGGATTTATTCTCTTTTTATTGGTTATTTTATTTCAAAGGTATGTTGAGTCCACAAAGTTTGCCTAGAATAACTATCTTTATCATAAAACCAGACAAAAATAATGACTTTTACATAAACATATGAGCTGTGGGCTTGGGGAAGAGGAGGGAGCCCACTACCTTCCATATCACACTTTGAAAATAACAATTGTTAAGGTAGAAAGAAGACCAGCTGCAGAACCAACAGCACAAGAATAGTGTTTAATTTTTTGTATTCAAATGTATTTTTCTTTTTTTTTTTCTTAATGGAGAAAGCAGGGAATAAGTTGCCACATTTTCTCAACACAGAAGAAACAGCTGGTTTAGAGGAAACATACTGTAAATTTTTTTAATTTCCAGGTTCCATAAATGTGTGGCAATGTTTTACACAACTATATGGTGCATGGAAATTAACTCCTTTGGCCATACTTTTTTTTTCTTAGTTATGGAGGAGAAAAATAAGTTACAAATCTCATTTCTTTCCTTTGTCAAGTATACAAATTGGTCTCAATATTTATTTTTGTAAATTGTTTCCCACCAAAGGTACACAATCTGAACTTGTTAGGTAGCCAGTACTCTAATTTACATATACTTCCATGATAAAATTTGTCAAATGAAATGAAATATTTTAGACTGCATTACCTGATACATGCTTTTGTTTGTTTGTTTGTTTTTTAACTAGTGAAAAAGGCCATAGATTTTAAATCTAGAGGATTTAAATTGTTTCCAGGGAAAGACAACAGCAACAAGTTTTCTATCTGTGAGTGTACTCCTTTTTTGTTACTTTTTTCTAGTGCAAGAGTGAAGTTTGTGCTGTGTTGTTTGTGTGTTTTCAAAATTATTTATGTATTTCTGATAGATATGGTTTCTCCAGTCTGCATGGTGAATTTTTAAATATGGTTCTACTCTAAAGACTCTAAAGTCTTTCTATAAATCTGGCATTGTAGAGGGACATGTTATTTTGTCAGTCATTTCAAACTAAATTTACAATGTTTGCAGGGAAACAAATATTCATCCTCCTAGGTGTCAGCTGTAAACTTAGCTATGAACAGATCTGTTATTTTAATTGAACATTAGCATCAGAAGGCTGTGCAAAACAAAGCCTATCCTCATTTACAAATGCACAACCAAATATTTTTTTCAAGAGACACATATGACATCACTCTTTGAATTTATTTTTTTTAAATTTACATTTTTTACCAATTAACTAACAGAAATTTTAAAAGTTCTGGAGATGCTTAGTGCTTTCAATTTAATTCTAGAAATTAGAAACTGAATCAGGTGACTTTCTAGCACAAATTAAATAAGTGTATCACTAAATACATTAAAAGGATACTTTTGCAAAAGAATGTGCCATTTTTATAGAGTTTCTTTTTGGAATAGAACCACATTTTAAATATTAGAAGTAAATAAAATGGACTAAATGTTTAGCCTATGTCTGATTATAATACATTTCATTATTCTTCACAGGAGTGAAAGAACTTGTTTTTGAAGCACCTTAGGTTGGACATGTTTGCACTAATGTTTTTGTTAAACACTGTCAGTGATGGATTCAGTTTCCAGAATTTAGCAGGACACATTAGCATAGGTTTTAATTTCCGGTGTTAGATTTTAAACTGTCAATGTGTTAGGTACGATTTCTTTTTTTGTAGAAAGATATCTTCAAGCAGCAAGTCCCGTTAACATTTACCAAGTCAGAAAAACAAAGCAAAACACACTTCTACTCAATTTTCGTAATGTGACTTATTGCCATAATCAGCTTCTCTGTAAACTGCATCACCTAAATAGTTATGTGGCATTTCTGGGTTATTTTAAAAAATTGTATGGAGATATTTTAAAAAAAATTCTTTTTATGAATACTAGGTGAATGGAGAGTGATTTTACAGCAAGAAATAACAGTAAGATAATTACAGTAGTGTTTATAAAGTACATGACTGAGGTCTCTGTCTGATGGCCCATCTGTGTTTTTAAATTACAAATGATAATAATACAATGGATGATAAAAGACACTGTTTCTCTATACATTTATTTGGCACTAATCCTTACATTTTCTTCTATATAAACTTTAATAGAAATTCCATATTTATAATGAATTACAAGAAACTTGTGATATCCAAAACTGATTGTTATGAAATTAGTGATGAAATTTGTCAATATATTTTTTAAGGTCTTTATATAATTTCATACATTATGATATTCTATGTAAAGCTGAAAACTTCTTTATCTTTTTTACTGATTATGCAGAATAGATTACTTATATGAGTCAATAATAAGTGAAGGTGAAAATCTTGGTGATTGGTACCTTTAGTGATCATAATCTTGTCATAAATAGATAACTAAGATTATATATTGTGATCTAGCATGTAGTTAGCTAGTCACTTTGGCAGCTGAGGAATTGAAGAACTGTATTTCATAAGACAGTTATGTATTTGGCTGTTGACTAGACAAGTTTTGCAGCGTGGTCTCAGCTGAGTCTATACTTGCATTACAATGACAGATAAGGGCCCTTCAAAAAAAACAATGTCCATCATTCAACTGTTAGCGGAAATAAGATAAATGACCTATTTTACATTATGCCTTATATTAACAATGTCTTTAAAAATTTTCATCTGTCATTTCCATCTGTACGTCCTTTCGTTATTTTACATCTTTTTTTTTCAATATTTTTGAACATTCAATACTAATGCATAGGTGATTTGCACAGAGGAAAACCAGAAGGGTAATATTTGATGTGATGATACACTTTGAAACAAGTATGCATCAACTTAATTTTAGAAGAGTTGACGTTACCAAATGAATTCATTGGGGAACTAATTCAATCAGGATTAGTACTCTGGAATTTCTTGCTCCCAGTTTCTTGACCAGACTGTGAATGAGTGCTTTCCCGAGATGCCTTTAACTTACTACAGGAAACACTTTCTTTGCTTATTGTCATATGAGCATCTGGGGTGTAAAACAGATTTCTGTGGAATTGCATGGAGATGTAGACTGAAAATTCAAGCATTATTTCCATAAAAGTAACATCCATACAAAAATCCTAAAATGTGCAGTTATTTTTTACTAAGTACTTAACAGAAATCAGATTTGTTTTAAAATTGTGTAAATGCATTTTAGAATTGGGATTAAATCAGAAATTTGTGTAATTGCTTCTACCTGTTCATTTTCTTCTGTATTTTTACTGTAGTATATGTCTTACTTTTTATAATTTATTTTTTTGATTTTCTTTAACATAAGCCTTTATATATTTATTTATGAATATTAACAAATCCATATCTTATAATTTAAAAATCTATTTTGTAGAGTATTTCTAGGAATGAAACTTTATACAAAAGACATAAAAAAGCAATAGGATTTTCAAGCTTCCATTTTTATAGAAATTGAAATGTATAATAGTGTATAATGATACCTTGAAATCCAGTAGAACATTCTTTTTTATATTAATATTTCCTCTAGCACCTGTGTATGGGGAAACATAATGTCCAAATATAAAATATTTATTTGAAATATGAAAACATGAATTAAAATAAATAGAAATAAATATGTTGAAATAATAGTTTTATTTTATTTTTTATAGTAAAGAATTTCTTCTGTGTACATTGTTATATTATGCATGGCCAAATGGCACCATTATAATTTCTATAATATTATTACCAAGCATCATGAATAATTTCCTAACTATGGGTCAGAATTTCCTAACTATATGTCAGAAAAATGTCAGAAATGTCTTCTCTGTATATACAGGCTACTTATGATGATTCTGGGTTTCTCATGTCTCATAATGAAACACTATTGCAAAGATATTTCAGTTAATTCTAAGTGCTTTTCCAACAAGATGACCTTGTGAAATGCATTTTATTGAATTGTAGTTGTCATATATCTATATATATAGATAGATATATAGATATAGATATAGATGATATAGATATAGATATAGATATGTATTCCAACACTAGCATGAACTTGGATTTCTGTAGCTAATATGCTTTCATCACATGCACAAGAAATGGGGGAGCAAGAGACTGAAACCTGAACCAGGAGGAAGAGTTGTCCTTTCCCCAAAGTCCCCTTAACATAGAGATCCAGATGAATAGAGGTTGTCTTGGTTTGCTATTAGAGCAACCTTGAACATCTTACAGGTATTTTGGGACAGAGGAGAGTAAATATTCTGGATCCAGCTGACAAGGGCTGAGCTTGATAGATTTTTTTGAGCAGTGTGCTCAAAAATTCATAATCCACTGCTTTATGAGCAGTGTGAAATGTTTTCTTTTGAAGCCTCTGCAACATTTGCATTTGGCCTTTGGCTTCCTCAGGGTTACTAAATTTTTCCCTTTCCCTTTCTGTGTATGTAAGACAAACCTCAAGGAAGGGAAAACACCCAAGTATTCTGAATTATTTTCTTCTTCATTAAAAGCTGAAATTTAACACCCTTTGGAAGTATAGTTAGAATAGAAATTTTTCTATCCATGTGCATTCTATTGCAGTGTAATGTGTTTGCCTTAATTATATGCAAACTTTTTCCTTAAAGAAAAGTAAAAATCTAATACTGCAAATCCATTGGTCTAGTTTCTCAGTAATAAAGATTAATACAAGTTAAAATCTTTCTGCTTAATATAAATCTCTCAGCTTCATGTATTTTTTTATTTATTTTTTTATATTCTTCTATCAGGCAATGAGTTTACCAAGTAATAGTAGACTAAGTTAAGAGGTAGTTGAATATACTGAGGGATAGGCTGAGGGTTAGATTGCTGTATACAAATTTTCAGAAAAACACACAGATTGGTTCACAGGAAGTTTCTCTCTGAAGATCTGTTTTAGATAAATGCATGCAAATCAAATTAGCATTTTGAGTTTACCTTCAGATCACCATATCTTGGGAATACATACATTTTCAATACTTATTAAGGACAATTCTCTCAGCAGGTGCTTATGCATTCATGTTTTATTATAATTCAAGGAAAAAAGGTCAGCTCTTAGTGGAGATGACATTTATTAGCGTATATTCATAATAAAATCTTAGATCCCTAAACCTGATGAACACTCCTTTAAATGTTAATGTTTCTAAATAAATAGCAATTTATTACAAACAAAAAAATAGCTGATTAATTCATCTTATTAAAAAATTGTGGGAGTTTTTTTTGAAAAAAAATCAGAAAATACATACTTTGCTTCTTATAGGGAGGACAAACTTATGTATTGAAACTAGAGTTTATACTGATTATCCTATTCTGTTGAAAATCTGTTTTAAAAGACCTAAAATGGAAAGAATATACTTTTTCATATTTGTACATTTTAATTGCTCAACTCTGTATTTTGTAAAAACTATATTATTTTATCTCTTTTTTGTTTATTTTATTTTGTTTTGTTTTTGTTTTTTTTTCAGTAAATGAGGGAGGTATTAAACAGGCGTCCAATTTGTGTCCAGATCCTGGAGAACCAGAAAATGGAAAACGGATAGGCTCAGATTTTAGGTAAAATATAAACCCTACCATTGTATCATTTCTCTAACAATGAACTTGGAAAATGTATATGCTAAAAATGTGTTACTGTTGTTGGGTACTCTTTCAAAAGTGACCTTCTCAGTAAAAAGTAATCTAAAGTTCTGTGTAAAATTATGTAATGCAATATAGCCTGGACTTGGTACGCAAAGAAATGTAATTCCTACTTGGAAGACAGCATATATCGCTGATAATCTGGCAAAAATTGGATTGAAGGTAAGTTGAAGTAATATTCTCTGTAAATACTGTATTAGATTTACACATATTGAGCATACATGTGGTACTGGAGGTTTTTGTGGAGGACAAAGTAGAACGGCATGCAACACAAGAACAACAAAGCTTCAGAGAAGAGATTTCAGATATAGAACTATTCATCGGACTATAATAGAGAGTACTGCATTTCCTACAGTATGTTTTTCAGGAACGCAGAGGTGTGATACATGTAGATGTATTTCCCTAGTAGTGGCTCAGCATCTTTAATGCAGACTATATTTTTCATTAATTTTTAAATATTCCCCTCTATTCTCAGCTATCTTTCAAATTCCTTATCTTGTAAGGAGAAAAGGTTTTCAATACTCCTTCAAAAAATTCTATTGTCTTTTTCACAGTGAACACATATGACTCCTAATTTCAGTATTGGCAGTGGTTGATGAGTAGGGAGACACATACATAATCACTTTTTGAAAATGTTTTGAATTAATTTTAATCTCTTTTCTATCTGAGTTTCTCAGTTGCTTCCTTTTCAATTGTTGAACATTTATTTTAAAAATGTTAACATTCATGTTATTTTATATTTGATATATAGACACTTTGGACAGTATAAAAAGAATAAATCTAAATCTATGTACTTGTTTAACATCGTATGCTAATTTCACACTATCATTTTGTTTACAAATCCCTTCGAAACACCCAACTGAAGAAAGAAAAAAGGAAGAGATTATTAAAAGGGAGATTGACAATTTTAAAATTAATTGGTTTTATTACACTCAGGTTTGTTATTATATATTTTGTGTTTTACATATCACATAGCACACTTCTAAGCATTTGAAGATAATAACTGTTAGAGTAATTTGGGAGATGTACAAAGATATAAGAAACTAGAGTATTTCATTCTTTTACATAATTTTTTTACCTTTGTCTATGTGTTTTTTGTCAAAATCAAGCAAAACATAAAATTGAAAATGGCATCCTAAGTAAACGTGCTAGCTAGCAGTCAGTCATTATAATTTCGTAGTCAGTTATTATAGTCTCTATATTTCTCTAGTTTTGAGAAAAGAAGAAGTTCAATGTGCATCAGAGAAAGCTTTATAACTAATTTTATAAAAATGTAATTTCTGATGTCAGCTGGCAAAAAAATTGTCAATATTTTCAGAGAAATAAAAATAAATTCACTGTATTTAACTGCCATGCTTCTTAGAATCATTACTTAGGCGAGTGTTTTGTATTTTAACTTCAAAAATACTGCTTGGGAGTGAAAACCTTTGACAGAGAAGATTCCCATCCTTTTCTAATGTTATCTCTGCATGTGATCAGTGAAAGACCTACTTGCCAAGATTATTCTGTGTGAGGGGCAGTACCTTAAAGAAGACACGATGATTATTGTCCTGCTCTGCTCTGCACTGTTGTGGCTTCATGTTGAGTACTGTGTGCAGTTTTGGGCACCACAGTATATAAAAGGTGTTAGGCAATCAGAGAGCATCCAACGGAGGGCCACAAGGATGGGGAAGGGCCTTGAGGGGAAGCCGTATAAGGAGCAGCTGAGGGCACTTGGTCTGTTCATTCTGGAGGAGACTGAGGAGAGACCTCACTGGAGTTACAACTTCCTTGTGAAGAGAAGAGGAGGGGCAGGCACTGCTCTCTTCTCTGTGGTGATCAGTGACAGGACCTGAGGGAACAGCCTAAGGCTGTGTCAGAGGAGGTTTAGGTTGGATATTAGAAAAATGTTTTTCACCCAGAGGGTGGATGGGCACTGGAACAGGCTCCCAAGGAAATGGTCACAGCACCAAGTCTGAGAGAGTTCAGGAAGATGTAGTGTAGCTCTCAGAAACAAACCAGAAAAGACTAGTTTCCTTTGAAAAGATTTTTTTCCCCCTATTTTGTAGTACCCTCTCTTTATAATAGAAAAACATTGTATTTTGAAATAGTGAGAAGAGATATACATATATACGCACAATTTCTAGCCACTTTGTTGACAGGCTTTGAAAAAGGTAACAATTACTCTTTGGGTTGTATTTCTATTACATATATTAGGGATAAATAAAGTGGGTTTCTATCTAAGGTTTGTTAAATGTCTTATGAATGTGAATGTTGAGATTCATATTTGTAAAGAACAGCATTGGTGCATGTTAATAAAACATGCACATTTATCTCATGTTGAACACTTCATGCATTTAAAAAAGATCTTACAGGCAAGAAGAGCAGACTAAAAATTTTCAGCAGACTCATTAAAATTCCTTTTCAAGTTAACATGGTTTCAATTCTTGCCACTATCATAATGGTTGCTCAATAGCTTCATAAGCTTCCAAAGTAAGAATGTTACAAGTTCTTTAAAATAAATAAATAATATATTTACATTTGTTTAAAAACATCCAATACTATAGCAAATCTTTTCCAGGTTGTCTTACATCTGATAGAGGGAAAAATAGTATGCTTTCACCTTTCCTTTCTTCAAGTCCCTCTCTCTGTAATGAAGGAAATAGCTTTACTTTAAGCTTTCCTTCTTTTCCTTTCTGAAAAGAAAGAGAAAATTCCAATTACAATACCTTCATTTTAAAACACAGTATTCTGAAGAAGGTTTTAGTTCTATCTTTATTAAGATCAATCAAAATTGAATTTCAGTACAATTTATTCTATTTTAGAGAAGAGCATGCTCTTGTCACTTCTCTTTAGCTTTCTTCAAAGTGAAGGGGTAGGTTTGGAAGCATTTTATTGCAATATCACTCCTGATTATAAACACAACCTACCTTCAGCACATTCATTTGTTCTTACATGGTTCTTACACAGATTTAGAAAATCTGTAATGCAAGCTCTAAGACAAACTTCAGCATTTCATGACATTCTTTGGGGCTTGAAACTACCTTTTGAGTATTTTTTTCTAATATGAAAATTCAAATGAAAATATCTAATGTGAAAATTCCCTATTGTTATATTTTGAAGTTGTAAAGACATTGTTTCTGATGCTAGATGCCTGTTTGAGCATAACAGATTTTGCAGGTTGAAATAAAGTCAAAAAGACTTACTCGTAGCTGCCATCTTTTCCTGTAAGAGAAAAATATTTCACCTCATAGAGAAAACTTCCCTGGAAGTTTGTTAAAATTTTAGGGGTACTAGTGAGTATTCTGCTAGAGTTTCCTATTTTACTTTACCTTTCATACAATAAAATACAAATCTTTTCCATATGTGGCCAATTTTAGAAACAATGCCACTATGGAAAATACAAGAAATATGTAATAGATAAAGAGAAAAGGTTTTCATGTGATATTGTTGCTTTTTTTAATTTTTGAGTTTTGAAGGGGTCTTTTTCTTTGTTTCTAGTGGAATAAACATATCCAGATTGAATTATACTTGCACGAGGGTTTTATTACGAAGCAAACATGTTCCCCCACTACCATCCCAACGTTCTGTCTTCATGACATGAATGAATCAGCCCATCTCTATCCCTCTACCTCTGTAGTGTGATCCAACCAGTATTTAAAGCTGAGATTCTGATCAAACTTGGGTCACAAGAAACCAGTGAATGCTGTTGGACAGCCATAAAAATTCTAGTGTAGTCTTTAAAATACATATTCTATTGAGAGAAGGAAGAATATGAAGTTTATATTAAAGACAATTTATTTTACCAATGGCTTATCTTGCAATATAAACAATGATAATATCTTCTTTCATTTTATATTATAAGTTAATTTGTAGTTATTCCTTGAAAGAATGACCTTAAGGTGAAACACTGATTGGCTAGCTTGGCTAGAGGTTTCACACTTAATTTTCCTTATATCTTCTCTGAATCACACACCATTCTCTGCAGATACAAAAGGTTTGCTTCTGAAACTTCAAACCAAACATCCTGAAAATTTAACAAAATCCTATTTACAGCATGAGATGTACTGAAATACTGATTGTTTCTTTACACTAGCATTGATATGTATCATAATATAAATTAGTTATTTGATAGAGATGGACTTTGAGAGATGATTAGTTATTTCTGGTTGTACTTTTTTTTTTTTTAATGCCTAAATATTATGTCCTCTCGAATTTTTTTGGCTGCAGGTATGAGTAGAATAGATTAATACTGCAGAAAGGTGTGAATCTTGGAGAATTTTTTTTCTATACTTGAATTTATATGTGACTTTTCAGATGATTCCACAGAAAAAATATGGGACTTCAATGTACAAATTCAGGTGTTTTCCTTGCATATGATTGCAAAAATCCAAACACCATTATCTTGTTCTTCTAGTCTCTCTCACCTACTCATCACAAAATTTACACAAGAAACATAAGTTCGAAGTGCAGAATAATACAATTTATCACTACAGCTGAGTTTGAGGTTTTTATTCTTTGAGTAATTGATTCTTGTTCAATAATAATTTAAAGAATATATCAAATAATGGAGGAAAAGAACCTAAATGAGGTAGTTTGTTATGTAAATGCCTACTGTTAAAAGAATACTATTCAGTATAAACTGCATATGAAGTTCAAAATTTTAAACTTACACTTTCTCATCCCTCAGAAATTCTATAGCTTCATTTTAGACTCCTTCTTACTGCTTTTAGTTTGTGTTGTTTAAAGAAGGCGTTGAGGCAGATGATGGAGACTTTAAAAAGAGATATGAGATTAAAGTTTTCACAAATTTGTATAACTACCTTCCTTATTAATATTTACTCATAGGTTTTTTTTCTAACAAAAATATATCCAGAATTTGGAGGTCTTCCTGAAATTCAAACCTAATGGCAATCCTCTTTTGTCCTATTAGAAAGAGAAATTTTCAGATAAAGTTATTGAGAGTCAAGCATTCAGTTGTGCAGCTCTGAACTGCTTTAGCACATTATATTATATATGCAAAAGCTTTGCATGAATTCAAAATAAATTGAACAACTTAAGTGAGTCATAGAAAAATTATTTGAAGGGTCCTTCACAGGCCATCCACTTCAGGCTCCTGCCCAAATCAGGACTAATCAGATCAGCTGTGGCTTTGTTTAGCCAACCCTGAAAACTCCTAAGACTCCTCTTGTGAAGAGTCCACAAGAGTCTGAATATGCTGTTCCAGCTCTGCCCTGCTTTACTGAAAGAAGTTCCTTGCAAAGTAAAATCGGAATCTTCTAAACTGTCCTTCATATATTATTTGCCACATTTAGAAAAGTTTGGCTTTGTAATGGTTTTTGAAGTAGTTAAGGTCTGTTATTAGATATTTGTTAGAGTAATTAAGCCTAACTGCCTCACTTTTTTACTGTAGGCCATGTGCTCTAAGTCTCTGACTAACCTCCAAATGCTACAGTTCTTACCAATCTCTGTCTTGAAGTGGGAGGCCAAACACTGGGTTTAGTATTCCAGACACAGCCCCACCAGCTAAGTAATAATTTCACTTGATCTGCTCCCACCACTTCTAATGTAGTTCAGTATATAGTTTGTTTTATTCAGGATGAGAACACATTACTGATCAATATTGCAGAACTTTGTACCTATACTTGTTGAGTGTCATGAGATTTCTGTTGGCCCAGTGCTGAACTTCATCAGGTGTCTAGATTGAAGCTCTGCTATTCAGTGTGTCAGCTACTTTTCCTACTTTTGTATGATCCATAAATCCATGAATCCATAAATTCTGTCTCACTGTCAAAGTTGAGGATGAAAATATTAAACAGCATAAGACTCCATATTGATTTCCGAATACTCAGCTTATTACTGGCCACCAGCTGAATATGAAGCCATTGATTCCTACCCTTTGATCACAGCTACCAGACCAATTTTGAATATATATATATTCAGTGCATATTTTGTCATCTCTCATAAGACACTGCTGTAAGAGGTGCTGTCAAGAACCTTGCTGATGTTGAGCACTGTTGCACTGAGCCCTAATACTCCACCAGCAGAGTGGTCCATGCAGCCTGTCATTTTGGCATAGAAGACAAGCAAGCTGATCAAATACAGTTCATCTTTGTAAGTGTTCTTAATTTCCTGTTCATGCTTTCCTAGAGCACATGTTCTTTCTAAAGATTGAGGTAGGGTTCCTAGCTTCTCCTTGCCTTTCTTAAAAGTTAGCCTTTCTACAGTCACAAGGAACTTCTCATCACCATAATTTTTTATAAATGGTACCAACCTCGCACAGACTCAGTCAGACTGTTCAGCACCCATCTGTGAAAGTTCTCTGGCTCCCTGCCTTTGAATACAGCCATCTTCTTTTACCTGTTACTCCCCAGTATTGGCTGTCTCTCTTCTTCACAAATTGTGTTGGTACCTGCAGATGCCTACGAGCTCATGTGCTGTAAAAATTGATGCGGAGAAGAGGTTTAGTATTTCTGTCTTTTCCATATTGGATTTCAGCACCACAAAGTTGCCTCATCCATTTATTAATGAATCCACATATATATGAACTTTCTTTTGTGACTGATATACCCACAGAAGCTCTCTTCCATGCTAATGTGCCTTGCCAGTCTTAGCTCTAGCAAGGGGCTCGTCCAAAGAGTCTATTTAGCCACCCAGAGACTACTAAATTAGTAGCTCTGGTTCAGAAAGTTCATTAATCATAAATGATTAAAATATGGTAATGATCAGAAGATGAACTATAAGTGGTTGCTCTGTTCTAAAGATTTTCTCTAACCATTCAGTTTTCATCACTTGCAGTGTTAGCATACTGCACTAAATGAACCCAGTCTGGCCTTTGGCTTCATCCACAGACAACTTCTTTTTCCCTTTTACTTTTGAAATTTGTTAGAGATTTTCATGCTGTCCTTTGGATTTTTCTTTTTTTTTTGGTTTATGTATGTCTATATAATCTATAAAAATGGACAATCTTATAACCATATCACACTTCAATTCTCTTGAGATTTACAAAGCAGATACAGTCACACTTTTAGGAGGGTTCATCCAGTAAAGAGTTTGGGTCGAATGTAAGTCAGGAAATCAAACTGCCCTTATTTTTCCACACTATTTTTGGTCACTTGTTCCCACATTCTGTTTTTGGAATAGTTTTCTCTAAAATAATACCTGCCGATAATTCAGAGGCAGACTAATCCAGCTTCCATGGTCTGATTTTCTCACTCCCAAGTTTTTTAGTTCTCTAACATACAATCAGATCTCTCACATGTCCTCCTGCAATACCTCCAGATATGCAATAGATATCATCAATTTTATCCTATCATGAATCTCTCTTTGTCCTATAAAACCATCCTCAAATTACTTGGGATTCCGTTAAAGAAAAAAAAAGCAACAAAAAAATAAAACCTTACTGAAATTGCTGCTGTCAGGACACCATACAAACCCTCATCAAACCCATGGTCAAGTGCTCTAGAGAAAACTAATTTGCATGTCCTTTTTCAGTTTTCATCATATTCACCTCAGGTATCTCATGCACCCTCCTAGGGAGGGAAGTGACACTTTATCCTCTTGTACTCAAAATATGAAACTTTTTTTAAGAGAAAGATGTATTTTGAACTGAATTCTTTTACGTCACAGATTAAAGTTGGTGGAGAAAAAAATATCATCAGAAACAAGAAGAATCTCTCCTACTAGACAATTTTGAAAGAATTATTGTTTTTTTCCATTTTTAAAAGAGTGTATAGATAGATAATGGCAGCAAAATATTAAACAATGGTAAGCTTGACTAGGCTTTTAAGCTACTGAGAGACAGATTTTAATATTTCCTTAACAAGCCCTCTTATTATTGTCTTTTTTAGGTGATCTTGCATGGAAATTGATCTCTGACTCTTCCATTTTCTTTCTTAGACTGGTGTTTTATCACCTGCTTATCTAAATGCCCTTAGTAGGTCTCAATCACATGGCACATATGTCACAGAGTTTGTGAATTTCCCAATCTCACTGTGTTTATGAGTCCCGTATGCTTACATCAAATACTATCAAATATCATTTTAATATCAAAACTGATTTGGACAAGTAAAGTGGACTTCATTTTGTAAGCATTATTTATACTTTTGAAGGTGACAAAAATAGTTATCATATTTGTACAGCCTTTATAATCATTCAGACCTCAGGAATTTTTGCCACTTACAGTTTGGTTGCCATGAGTTCAATATAATTTGTAAATTATGTACTTTTTGCTCAGTATTTCCTCTTTAAATCAGTCTGTGGTTAGTTAAAGAAAATATATTTTCACGTTATTTTTTTCATGTGTTCCTTTTTTTATTTTTTTTTAAAAGCAGATAGATTATTGTGAAAATCTAAAGATATTTGTATCTTCCCAATTGCTACCTTTTGAAATTTCCTAACAATATAGTCACTATAGTAGCTGTGCTAACTTTAAACATTAGTGACGGATAGTTTTTGTGTTTCACGATTTTGAAATTGCCTCCAACTCTGTGATCTGCCTTGTGGCTCTTTTTCCTCAGTGTCATATAGAAGCTTTTCAACCTTGCATTGCAAGGGCCTTTACATTATGTTTCCTTTCTTATTTTCTTAAGTTTTTCACTTCTATGTTTTCCTCTGGGTTTTTTTGTGGAGTCTGCAGCTCTTCTTTACCCCATTCTTTCACTTGACCTCCAAATGACTGTTAAGAAAAGGTGAACCAGCTCATGTCAAAGTGAGCCCAGAGGGGGCTGAACGCTGTGCACGGTGGGACTGGTACACAGCCTTCAGCCTTTTACTACTGAGAGTAGAAATTACTGGTTTGTATTGTTTGTCAGGTTGTCATATCTAAAAGAATGGAAAAAATGGACTGGTATCTATTTGTAAAAAAAATGCCTCTTTTTATGTCATTGTTTGATTTTAGCTTGGGAGCAACAGTACAGTTCTCCTGCGATGAAGATTATGTGCTTCAAGGTTCCAAAAGTATCACCTGTCAGAGGATAGCTGAAGTTTTTGCTGCATGGAGTGATCATAGACCTGTGTGTAAAGGTAAAGAGGAATTCTTACCCTTATGGTGATTTTTGTATTTCATACCTATCTATTGTTTGAAAGTCAATACTATTAAATTAGTATTTTGTATGTACCTGAAGTTTTAATCCAAATGTCCCCACCTTCTTAGTAAAGAAGGACACACCGATGCTGTTTTGTCTGTGGATAGCTCACTGGAGATGGTTGTCAGACAAAGCTGATTAAATCAAGGATTGTGTCTCCCACCTTAGGTTTCTAAAGCTATGCAATATGAGTACCCCAGATTTTCTCCACTGTGGAAATTAGCTCTCAAGAAAGGTGTGGACCAGTGAAAACAGGACAGAAGAAATTTTTAAAATATCAAAAATTCTTTTAATTTCTTGTTTCTCAGAAATGTAATTATCAGAATATAAACAAGTGTAAAAGAACTGGGTTGTTTTGATCTGAAGAAAAAAGAATCCAGTGAAAGAAGAGGGAAAGTATAAAATATAATGGACTACAAGTGTGCAAAGACAGGTTTACAGTTGGACACTAGCAAAACTTACTGAACTAAAGAAATTTAGGTACTTGAGCAGAAGTATTTCATAGCATGTGAAATACACACATATCCAGGGGAGTTTGAACACACACAGACTCATATTGAGGTGGGATAATGGACTAAATACCTCTTCAAAGTTCTTCCAATCCCTATTTTCTGTGTTTTATTAGAGAAAGAACACTTGGATTTCAAAACTGATTCATTTAAAAAAATAAAATCATCACGAAGATCATATGTACATATGGCTGCATGACAGGATTTATATATTAATTGTATGATAACCATGATAAAACGACAATCCAAAGGTACTTGGCTTTTATATCCCACATAAACAGTAATATAAATGGTAATTGTACCACTAATAGAATCACAGAATCATTGAGGTTGGAAGAGATCTTTAAGATCAACAAGTCCAAACATCAACACAAAACTAGCATTGTAACTGCTAAACCACTGAACCATATCACCCAGTGCCAGATCCAGATGCCTCCTAAACACCTCCTGGGATAGTGACTCCACCACCTTCCTGGGCAACCTATTACAATTCCTGACCACACTAATAGTGAAAAAATTTTTTTCTGATATCTAATCTGTATCTCCCCTGTCTCAGCTGAAGGCCATTTCTTCTGGTCCTCTCACTGGAGGCACAGAAGAAGACACCAGTCCCCACCTCACTACAACCTCCTTTCACATAGTTGTTGAGACCAATGAGGTCTGCCCTGAACCTGTTCTTCTGGAGACTCAGCTCCCCCAGCCTCTCCTCATAAGACATGCTATCTAGACCACTCCTGAACCTTGTTGCCCTTCGCTGGACATGGTCCAGCACCTCAGTGTCCTTTATAAAGGGAGGGGTCCAGAACTGAACACAGTACTTGAGGTGCAGCCTCACCAATGCTGAGTAAAGAGGGATGATCACTTCCCTAGTCCTGCTGGCTACACTGTTCTTGATACAGGCTTTCTTGGCCGTCTGGGCACCCTTCTGGCTCATATTGACCTGGCTGTCAAACAGCACCACCAAGTCTTGCTGTCCTCTGCATATTATGCATTTGAGAATAAAATTTAGCAATCTCATTTGAAAGACACTCTAAAAGGAAAGCATACTGTAATTAGCAGATAATTTATCAATAATGCACACACTGTCTATTTCTTTTTTAAAGTATCTCCCCTAACAGACAATAAAGTGTTATCAGGAGTGCTGTGTCAAGACTGAGATGTATGCATAGCTACTTGAAAGGCAGCTTTTGGGAAATAGGGCCTTCAAGCATAAGTGGTTATTATATACATTGCTTTTCACTTTTGTGTAAGTTTTGAACTCTGAATAGTAGCAGGTAATAAAACACTTAAATATAAAAGAGTTACCACATTCTACAGTTCATTTTTTCCACAGTATGATTAAGAACTAACATTGCATAATGATGTACAAATCATGTTAGTAGATGTGTCTAATTATAAATTATAAATTAATTATTCATAGTGGAAACATCTTATTCAAACCCAAAACCACAGCTTTTCACTTCTTTACACTCACTAACTTCATAGAACTAATTTCATCTTAAAAAGGAGAGGACCAATATTAAGGAAATTATTATGAATTGATACAATGTCACATGGTGAAAAGCCAGACATGATATAGATATTCTAGTTTAGCAAATATGAACTGCTTTAGAGTACCATTATCTGCATTAAAAATACTCATTAAAGTACCTTAAGTGTGCTATAATTTTTGTTCTTTTCATTAACAAGGTGTTTCAATTACACTCTTAGATATACTAAAGCTGGAATATAAGTGTTTCTTCCTGACTAGTAATGATGTCTTCTTTACATTTCATGCACAGAACACATGATAAATATGTAGAAAGAATTTTGCATAAGTTGCATAAATATCATATAGTAACATGAAGTATCTGAAAAAATATGTTTACATCTATTAATTGAACTTGCATGACTGTGTACAAACCATTTGGGCAAACAAATTAGGCAATCACGTACAAATGTTATTTTATGCAAGAAATTACTTTTTTCTTGTAAACTGATACAGCTTTACAGAGAACGAGGACACAGGATACTTCATCTCTCTTTAGATATAACATATTTAGAATAACATCTTTCTGTTATTCTCTAAAATGTCATTTAAAGTCCCGCTTTTTATTACATGCTTTTTCCTATTTGAACAGTACAACTTGCAATTGTTTTTATTCACTTATATAAATTATATTGAGCACAGACAAAAAAAAATCCTACAGTAAGAATACATTTTTCAAAAGTGGAGTGTGAATATCCACAATTAGTTGCATTAATATACTGCAATTAGGCAGGGTTATAAACAGGAGCTTTCCAATTCTGTTAGATGCATTTGATTTGGCATCATAAATCCTCAGGACTTGTTCTCATACAGCATATGAGTGACTGAATATAACAGCCTGACAAAAATGAAAGATTAGCTCTTTAGGAGTTATCATGCAATACCAGCTGGAACTGGCATAAGATCATATTCATGAAAGTGAACCTGGTATAAGTTTGAAGCATTTCTACAGGAAAAATATAGTAGGACTTTGAGAAGGAAAACCGATACATCACTTCCAAAACACAAGCAAACATTGTAGATGATCAACATCTTTTAGACCTTCTTCTCTCGAGTTTTAGCTGAATTCTGAATGTTTTGACTTCTAGAAAAGACTGTGAGAAAATTTTTATTTCAGATATCCTGACCAGATTAAATTGCAGTTGCATTACCTTGTGGTTTATCAACAATTATCCTTTCTTTTTCATATGTTTTTAAATATAATTTAAAATTTAATAAATCTCTTATCACCCAAGAAAAATAGCAAATGCTTGGATATAGGAACCTGGCAAAGAAATATGGCAGAAAATCAAGTTATTTGCCCCATTTTGGTTTACAGACAAGGGGTATTGAAAAGAGGTTAAAATTTAGAGCTATGAGGAAATAGCTTTGTTGTAGGCAACTAGATCTACATAAGCAGCAGCTGAAAATTAACTCTTCAATTTCTGAATTTTATAGAAATTTTAAATTTGATTCACCCTCTCAGACATTTGTGGGTTTTTTATCTTGAACTTTTCAAGATTGATGCATCATATAAGACTAAAATTCTGCTGGGGATATTTAAATTTGTTCCAATGTAATTGGCCCCATGCAAATCTTGTAACATACCATTGTTAGAGGACAGCAGAACAGACAATGTCTTCCCATCCTTCCTGAGAAGGAAAAAAAAATGTTAAAAGGAATGACATGAGAATCTTTTCCAAAGCATTCATTACACACTGAGTTATGATTGAAATCTGTCATTTGAAAGACGAAAATTTCTTCAGTTGTTAGTTATTTTATATCCCAAGAAATGCTTAATATATGTAGCTGTAATACCATGTCTGATTTACATCAACTTCTCCGTGATTCAAGAGAGAAAGTTTAAACAGTTCAAGATTGAAACCCTACCTATTTATCTGCCATGAGATTCAGTATTCTCCTACAGGGCAGTGCTGTTATTACAAAGCCAGCTTGATTAAGCAGACAATTATTTACTTTATGAAACTATATGTGAGTTGATAAATCTCTTCCTCTCATTTACGTTTCAGGAAATGAATCTATAGATCTATTCACATTTGGTTCATCAGCCTTTTTTATTTTCATGCCTGCCACTTCTGTTTTCTGCTTGCTTGTTTTTTAGGCCCTGTCCTGTGAAACATTTATGAATGCTGGCTTTTATAAGTCTGCTAGCAAGTCAGCAACAAATACAGTATTTTGGAAAAGCTCATCTAATCTGTAGAAGAAAAAGTTGGTTTTGAAATAATGCTTTGTAACTGAGAAAACTAAAAGAGGTTCCTGATTTATAATCTTTATCATGATCATCCAATTAAAAATCATGCTACAAAGTAATTTGGAATCTTAGTAGAAAAAGAATCAAATGGTACTATGGATGTGAATTAGGTTCTTGCAAATTTAGAACGCAAGTTTTTAGCTTTGCGTTGCTATTTTGGTCAGTTCATTTCACTGAATAAAGTGATTTTCAAATAGGTTGTAAAAATCAGTTTGATTAAAGTGAATAAGCAAGCAGAATGTACATTATGAATTTTAGATCTTGCTTTTACAAATACATTTACTTATCTATAGTACATTTCTGAAAAATCCACCTATATCTTACTTCTCTCTGAAATGCAGCCATGTATCTGTACCTCTTAAATGTGTTGCTGACTAGCAATGTATATGTTTATACACACACACATACATAGACCCAGGTAATGCATCGTAGATAAATAGGGACAAAAGTGGTCCTAATTGATCAGTTATATTTTCTTACTGTTCCAGCTGTATTTATTCCCAGATGGTGTTTGTCTAACATTTTGTATTTTAAAGGGAAGTGCTCTTAAATCTTACTCAAGCACTCCAGTGCTTCATTAGCCTTGCAAGTAGAGGATTTTCTAATTCAAATGTGAAAAGCAACTTCTTTCAATAGGTCCTTCTACATAAAGGGCAGGTGTCTAATTTGTCTTTTCAGTGGCTTACTGTATACTTCCAGAATACCTGATCTACTTTAAGCTAACCAACAGCAGTTCAGTCAGTCCTTCCTCACAAGTTGTGTTTATAGAACTCCAGCATTTTTAGTCATTTTCTCAATGGATCCCTTAGGAGCCTTGCTCCCACCTCCATGTTCTCTCCTTGTTTTCAGGCTTCTGGTGTGTCTTTGAACGGAGTTTTTTCAAAAATATAACTTTGAGGGATAGAAGTGGTGCAGGTTGGGAGGCAAAAGTGATATTCTTTCCAGAGGCTAGTGTGAGGGAAGGAACAAGCCTTCATCCAGCAGCAACTAAATCTTCCTATGTTCAGTACTGATCAAATAAACATACTTTGTGAAAGTACAATGCAACTGAAGGGTGATTTCACATATCTAAGTGTGAATTTTTTTATTCAATTAAGCGAGATAGTCTTTCAGAATACAGTGGAAGCAATAATTCTTTATCTGTGCAATTTACTTGTGGCATCATAATAATCACTGGAGATATTACTGGAACAGCCTGAGGCTGTCTCTCAGTTCTACATCTTCGTATAGGAAAAGTTAACCAGTAGAGCATTCAGCAAAGACCTGAATATCAAGGAACCATCAATAAAAGTGTTATTGACTTCAGCAGATCAGGAATTTAGTGCCTTTAAAGTGTCATTTGCAAGCAAAAAGGACACAGTTTATATCCTTTGTATTATTTGTGATGCAAGATGCCACCTACAGTAAATAAGAATGTTTGTTTTTATTTAAGACATGCTATTGTAAATAACCATACAGACTTTGATTTATAAATAAGTGCCCTTTGTAGTCTTCAGAAATGGATAACACTGTTTTGTGTAAGTCTAACTTCTACAAGTTTCATTTAAAGTTTTCAGTGCTTCAGCCATGGGTTCAATGGGTTATACAGTGGTCACAGCAGAAAGAATGCTGACATGCAATACACCAATATACATGCACAAAAAAAGCACAGTGATAAAAGCGATCTTTTTGTTCTACTATCTAAACTTGCCTTTAAAGACCTTAGTGAAGGTGGATAAGTTACTTCCTGAAGTTTTATAAATAGGACAGTTTCTCTTAGTGTAGCTATTATTTTTACTGTAAATACATGTTTTTAAGATTGTAAGTTTATCCACAATAGAAAGTCTATTTTATTTTGTCAGAGTAACTAAACATGAATGTTCAACTGTCTTGTAAGAAGTGACTCTATTTTTGGTCAATGGTATTTTAATTCTTCTTGATTAGAGTAAGTTAGAGACTGTTTTATGAATCTGCTACAGATATTTTCTATGTGAATTAAAAGATGAACTTTCTTTTTGCAGTCAAAACTTGTGGATCCAATCTTCAGGGACCTGGAGGCACTTTCACATCACCTAATTTTCCATTTCAGTATGACAGCAATGCTCAGTGTGTATGGGTCATCACAGCCATCAATACCAATAAGGTAAGTTTAAAATTCTGTCTTTGCTCGTTTCCCTCAAGATTGTTTTGGTTTTTGTATGCCAAATAGATGCTATCATGTTTATATGTGATTCTCTGAATGAATTCCCAGAAGCAACTACTCAATGATACGAAGCAATGACATGGGTCCACTAATATTTTGTTATAACCAGAAGAGCTGCTTTGCGTATAAGACTGTTCATATCATGTTTGACCTTAGACTATGTAAGGAGTCACTGAAGTTCACTTTCCCATCATGAGGGACTGTTCTAAAGTTGTTTATTTCGTTGTCTGTACCACTGTATTAAAATCCCATATACTTTATACCTACACTTTAAACCAAAAGTACTAGGAGTTTTGATAATGCCAGATGAGTCAAAGTGGAGCAATAAAGCTAAGTTATGACACCAGTTGTCTTTAATTTCAAGAACTAGGCACCTGGCAGCAATGGCTATATTCTATTTCCAGGTGTATCATTTTATCTGTACTGAGTGTAATGGACTTGTTTAGATGTAATAAAACATAAATTAGCTGTGCAGCTCAGAAATGTTTTATAAAAGACTATCAACATCTGTGTTTGCTGGTACAGGGGTATATTCTACCTCTAATTTCTGCCTTATATTGCCATCTGCATCACACTCCATTAACTGATCAGACAGACCTAGAAGGCCTACCACTTTGCACCTGAGTTTATCAGAGGACTCAGTGAAAACCCAATTACATTTCAGAAACCATTTAGCTACACTGGTGTATTTCTCCCTCTAATCTTACAAAGTCCTGTGTGGAAGCCATCCTTATGTTTCATTTTGGTACAAGAAAGAAGGATATTTAAACAGTTGATTAGAATTTGATAGTGGAAATTATAGATATGTTTTGGTGGGGGGCAGAAGAGGAGGTTGTTTAATTCCTATCCCAATTTATCCAATTTATCCAATTTATAGGTCTAAAAAATGTGTCAGGAATCCTTGAAAAATAATGCAATCACTTTTCCACAGATGGGCAAGAAGTTCAAAAGTAATAGTTAAGGTCCATTTCTTTCATATTTTTATTTCTTTAATCAAAAACTATTGATAAGATGAAATCTGTGCACATCTAGAATTTCTGAAAGTTTTGTCAAATGTGACAGCAGATGGAATTTAGTATCGTACTGTGTGAGGAAATGAAACACAGCTATTACACTTTGAACAAGTTCTTTAAATGGCCTGAAAACCTCCACTGAGCTGTTGAATGAATTTAAGACTCTTTTCATCATATTTTGCATAAAATGGTTTCCATTCTTAAATGCAGCAAGGGCATCTCTACATAAAAAAAAAAAAAGAAAAGAAAAAAAGTGCCAAAGTGCCAAATAAGATTTTAGACATTCTACCAATGGCAGAAGCAAAATTTTAAGCTGACAAACAGGTATGTATTTACTGGCAAGTGACAGGTGATTGCAGGTTTAAGATATTAGTGACTTGGAGATTGTTAAGGATTGCACTCGGATGAAGATATTCATGTCTTAATGCTGCCTTCCTCTGTCCCTGCCAGTTCACAGGGTGGTTATGCAATGTTATCTTCAAAACCTCCAAATTTCGTTTTGATCAAAAATATTCTTTACAGGAGCATTAAAAAACATTATTCCCCAGTATTATTTTCCTTAAAAATTTCCAGATTCTGCTTTTAAGGAATTTTGAATTTAAATCTGAGTGCAGAAAATTAATTGAACAAATGGTTCTGGTTGTTGGTGTGGTTCGCAGAGCTGCAGAATAATTAAGGTTGGAAGGAACTTCTGTAGATCCTATAGTTGAACTCCTCTGCTCAAGCAGGGCCATCTAGAGGCAACTGCACAGAGGATCTTTGAATATCACATAAGATGGTGACCAGAGCTAGTGCCCAGGCACCCCCACAGTGAAAAACTGTTTGTTGATGTTCACAAGGAACCTTCTGTGTTTCAGTTTGTGCCTGTTCCCTCTGGTCCCGTCACTGGGCACCACTGGAAAGAGTTTGGTTTCATCTTCTTTGCATCCTTCCATCAGGAGGTTATAGACATTGAGATTTCAGTGAGCATTCTCTTCTCCAGGCTAAGCAAGCCCAGCTATTTCAATCTTATGTGAGAGATGCTCCAACACCTTAATCTTCTTAGTGCCCCTTTGCTGGACTCTTTCCAGTAGCTGCATATCTTACTTGTGCTTGGCAGGTGCAGTTGTTTTCCTTTCTCTCAAAACACTTACAAGATCAAGTTATTCCACATTTAAAAATTGCAATTCTAATGAAAAGAATATAAACCCTCTCTTTGTTCTTAGGTTGTACCTGCAACAGGTCAAATAAAATGAATTTGAGTTATTTTGTATTGATTTTTCCCCTGAAACTGTAAATCCTGCGAAATAGCAAATGAGCATAGCATGAAAACTATTCCAGAACCTGACTGATAATAATATATAAGTATACACTCAGTTTTAATATTTGGGGATGAACCAGATTGATCTTCTCCACTAATTCAGTAAAACATTTCATGTTTTATTTGATTAGTACTTATGTTTTGATTGTATTTACAAGGTAAGGTTTTGGTAGCAGGGATAGATGCAGGGGTGACTTCTCTCAGAAGAGATCACGAGTTGTCCCCATATCAGGCAAAGACAGTCCTAGTTAGCTCCAAAACTGACCCACCGCAGGTCAAAGCAGAGCAAATCAGGCAAGCTGGGGGTACCTCTGTGATAACTTATTTAAGAAGGTGTAAAAAATGCTGCACAACAGCAGCTAAAGGAGGTGAGCAAGAATATCTGAGAGAAACAAGCCCACAGACACCAAGGTCAGAGCAGAAGGAGTTCAAGGAGGTGCTCCAGACACCAGAGCAGAGATTCCCCTGCAGCCTGTGGAGAGGACCATTGATGCAGGTTGTACCCACAGCTCATAGAGGTCCCTGGTGGAGCAGTGATCCATCTGCAGCCTGTGCAGAACTCATGTCAAAGCAAGTGGATATGCCTAAAGGAATCTGTGACCCATGGAGACCCCCTTGGGGTAGCAGGTTTCTGGCAGGACCCATGACACCATGGGGGTCCATACTAGAATAGTTCCTGAAGAACTGCAGCCTGTGCAGAATAATTTCCTGTGAGAGGACTGAAACTGGAGCAGAGAAAGAGCATGAGGAGGAAGGATCAGCACAGACAAAGTGTTACAAACTGACTGCAGCTCCAATTCCCTGTGCGGAGAGGAGGAGGCAGAAGAGTCAGGAACAAAGAAGTGAATTTGAGCCTGGGAAGAGGGGGGGTGGGAAAATGGTGGGTTAAGTTTTGTTCTTATTGATCACTTTCCTACTCTTTTTTAATTGTCAGCAAATTAAATTAATTTTCCTCAGATCAAGTTTGTTTTGCCCATGACAGTAATTAGTGAGCAATCTCCCTGTCCTTATCTTGACCCATGGGCTTTTCCATTCAATTTTCTCATCCTGTCCTGCTGAGGGGTATTGATGGAGTGACTTGGTAAGCACCTGACAGCCAGCCAAAGCTGAATGACCACAACTTACATATTTATCTGTCTCCTATGTATTTAAATATTGTGAAAGTGTTGAAGATTTCATAAAAGAGAGAAAACAATAGTTAAAACCAGATCACTTATTTAAAATTAAATGTGAACTTTCAGATAAGGCCATAATCAAGAATATCTTTTTGTTGATGGTACGTTTAGAGAGTTATGACAGTAATAAGAATGCAAAGAAGTAATATTAGGTAAAGCAAGTAGTTTTATTTCAAAGCATGGGTGTTGGACACTGTTTCTACACTTCCATGATGTATCACTGGAATCACTAGACTCTAAGAAGTCTTAGATTCATCACAGGCACATTATAGTGGAAGGAGTTGAATCATAATTGCTTCAGCATTACACAGAAAATATTGTTCTTTGAGTAGTATTGGTTGGACATAATTGTAACTCTTTGATATTGCAATGAAATGCAGATAGACAGGTATTTATGAAGTTTTTAAAGGAGGGAATAGATAAAACTTTTACAATGATATCTGGAACAACATTAAGATATGTTTATATCTAAATATGTTTATATATGTTTATATGTTTCAGAAAAGGTGTCTAGCACTGATTAGAAGAACATAAAGTTGTTGAGGTTAAAAGAAAGTGAGATCTTTTAGAAGTTAGATTTTTATTTTTTTTTAATCATATATTGAGGAACTTACATTGAGGAAATGTATAAAGTTTACTTAGTGGGTTAGGGAGCCCCTGGTGGTCTAGTGGTTATGGACGTGGCACTGTCACCGCCGAGGCCCAGGTTCGATTACGGTCGGGGCCACTTCCTGGGCAGATGGAGCTGGTTAGCCCTGTGAGGCAATCCATCTACGTCCTGAGGACCTCGCTGCCACCGTCCAAGCTCGCTTGGCCCCGGCAGATGAACCTTAGGATTAAAGGGTGGGCTCAGTTCCGCGCACACTGTGTCTCACCTAAAAAATCCAATGCGCAGGCTGGAAGGTGGAAAGACCTTCCCCGGTTCTTCATTCGTGAAGACTGGCCATTACTTACTTAGTGGGTTAATGTGTTCAGTTTTGATTCATGCTAACATTGCCTTATTGTTCTGAGCACAATACTGCTTGCTTTGCATGACTGCTAAAAGGCAATACTTTTGATTTTTTTACCTGGAAGTCAAAAACCTCATTGATATATAAGTGAGGATTTGCCGTTAAGAATTATTTATAATGGCAACAACAAATAATATAATTGTATTCATTATAACATGATAATATTTACAATATTTCTACCATGGCTGTGAGAACCATGAGGACTTATTGATCCTGGTGGATCAAAGCTTCTACTTTTTGCATCACTTGCAACAAATAGCTCAGAAACTGAGAATTTTTTAAGGCAGAAAGCAACAATGAAAGACCCTGAAAAGATCTTTTGTGTCAATGGCCTAGTTCCAGAACCGATTCTAGCTAATTTTCTTCCCTAACTGATTTCAGAAATGGGTTTGATAACAACACAATGTAGATGAAAGAAATATTTCCACAGGAATTTATCTGC